TGAACAGCTGATATTTTTTAGCTCATTGCGAAAAAGAGTAAGGTCATTGGTATCTAAATTCAAAAGTGTCGAATCGCAGACCGGCTGATTAGTGTCCAAACAAGCACAAAGCATATCAGCGACATCTGTGACTTCTAGAGATATAAGGGATGGTGTATCAAAGCAGTTGGCAAGAGCTATAAGCCCATGTCGAGAGAGAAGACCATATGTAGGCTTGAGACCCGTGACACCACAATAGGCAGAAGGTAGGCGACAAGATCCACCAGTATCAGAGGCAATTGATCCAACGCATAATCCAGCTGAAACGGCAGCAGCACTTCCACCCGAGCTCCCACCTGCTATCCGATCCCTACCATCGGGAGTGAGTCTACTCCATGGATTCACAACTGGACCAGAGAGAGGTGCATCTACTGACCCACAACCCATTGCGAATTCGTCCATATTAGTTTTGCCAACGAGAGAGAAGCCAGATTCCAAAAGCAACTGAACAACATGAGCAGAGTATGATGGTCGGAATTCTTTTAAGGAGAATGAAGCACATGTTGTGCTCACTTTAAATTGGTCTGCGTCGGTACAGAAATTGTCTTTAACGGCCAAAGGGAGGCCAAATAAGCCATTTTTAGAGACATTTTCGGGGGAAATTTGGCTGATAAACGAGTTGGTGGGAGGGAGTTGTAGAGAGGATAGAGAAATCCCATTTCGATAAGCCCTCATATCTTCACTAATTCGTGAGTAGCAGAGACGCCATGCTGAATCTGGGGCAATTTTTCCAGATGCTATGGCATCGTTAAGGCGGCGAATGACCCCACGAGGCAGCATGGGCGCAAAAAACTATGTTGAACTTATACTAAATCAGTCAAAATGAGGAAATGCTGACCAACGAATCTACGGAATTCAATTGGCTTAATAAAATTTAAAATGCAGATTCTATAAAAAAACTTACATCACAAAAATGCGCAAGAGAGGACAGGCAAGAAATAGAGCATGGTAGATTGGACGTCGCGGTAGTCAAAAAGTATCAAAAAGCACAAAATATCTAAAATTTTATTTAAGAGAGTAACAGAATTTAAAAAATAATAAATTTTTTATATGTAAGAATAGTCTAAGGATACGATAAAGTACCTGTTGCCAGTTTAAAAGGGGCTTCCCACCTGTCTGCATTAGTGCTATCTATGGTGTGTGGCCTACTTTTAAATGATTATTTTTTTTAATGGATGCAATTTAAAGGAATTATTTTGATTTATATTTATACACATTCATGCTTACCTTTTATTATTCATAGAACATGTTTCTTCGGTATAATTTAGTGCTGCGTTCATTACAACATTCTTCCATTAGCCTATATTTATGCCAA